TGAAGAGCATAAGGAGGTCTTAATGCAGAAAAGTAGGATGCTTACTCTGTATCTCTCTCTCCCTTTTCCTATATATTCACATGTGTACATGTGTATGCACATGTATATATATATGTACACACATATATATATATTGTAGGATACTATATTTGTATGTATCCCTAACTCCAGCCCTGCAGTTCCGCTGTTCTCAGCTGTTTCTAAGCCCGAAGTTCTTTCGCAAGAACTCAGACTGCACGCCCCTAAACTCCATAAGCCCTAAACCCTAAACACTAAACCCTAAACCCCATAAGCCTTAAACCCTAAACCCCATAAGCCTTAAACCCTAAACCCCATAAGCCCTAAACCGCAAAACCCTGCCCTCACCCCTGAAGCCCTAATGCTTCGAAAGCCCTAAACCTTGGATACTGCCCCCACTCAGTAACAGGTGAGTAATTTGCATCATATGTATATATAGATATAGATATATATATATATATAAGGCCCTTAGTAGTAGCCATATTGTAGACTGTTACTGTATGGGGGCAGTACCCAACCTAACCCTAAGCCCCTCAAAGCCTACAGCCCCTAAAGTCTGGGCCCTGAGGCGTCGCCGCGCTTGCTCTTGCAGGTGCAGCGAGCAGGGGTGGCCAGGGCGGCGGGCGGGGTCGCTCGGGTTTGGGGGTTTGGGATTTAGTTCTTTAGGATTCTGCGTTTTCAGGAGCAGGTTTGTTGATTTTTTTTTGTTTGGGCTTTGCTGCGGTTCCCGGTTCAGTCGTGCAGCGGAAACCTGTGGCATTCTTGGGGCGAATATGCTTTTCTGCTTTTGTCTCTTTACGTTAGCAACATTTCGTGGCGCACTCAATTCTGCACTATCTCGACCAGCACAAGAATTCACATCAGCCCAATCAGCCGATGATAACCCTAAACCCCAAACCCTAAACCCTAAACCCTTATGACAAAACCCCAGGGCCCTCCCAAGACTTCGAAACTCGAAGTTCAGGGTCTTGGGGCTAAGCTAAACCCCAAACCCTGTACCCCTGAGTTTGGTGCTCAGGGTTTAGAGTTTAGGGTTTGGGGTTTGCAGGGTTTAGGGTTTTTAGGGTTTTTAAGGGGTTTTAGGGTTTGTAGAGTTTAGGGTTTGGGGTTTGCAGGGTTTAGATTCTAGTTGTGCAGGGGGAAAGCTTCGATGAAGAATCTTTGCAGCATGACTCCACCAGCGCTGCCTGAGCCGCAAGCCACCGAAGCCAGTCACCGGCATGGTTTCTCGGGAACCTTTATGTGGAGGCGGGTAGGCACTTGCTTTAAGAGGCCTTATCAAGCCCTTCTTCGGTCTTTATTTCTGGTATTAAGGCCCCCTATAAGGATCCTTAACCCTAAACCCTAAACCCTAAATCCTAAACCCTAAAGCCTAAACCCTAAAGCCTAAACCCTAAACCCTAAACCCTAAATCCTAAACCCTAAACCCTTCCTGAACCCTAAACCCTAAACCCTAGGTATCCTATGGCTTTGAAAGACTTTGAGTTTCGTAGTGCTTGGACTGCAGGTGCCATTGCTGCCGTCACTCCGAGCTCAGGAAAGGCGGTTTTTGGGGTTTTTAGGGCTTTTAGGGTTTTTAGGGCTTTTAGGGTTTTAGGGTCTTTAGGGTTTTTAGGGCTTTTAGGGTTTTTAGGGTTTAGGGTTTTTAGGGTTTTTAGGGTTTTTAGGGTTTAGGGTTTGCATTTTTTCTTTTTTGTTCGTGTCTCGGGGCGGAGGGCTGAGTATAGGGGGCCTGAAAGATAAGCAACAGTCTTTGTGCGTTCTTTACTGTAGGGTGTTTACAACGCATAGAGTCTCATAGCCTACATGCCCAAGCGTGCTACTTGAATTCGTAAACTTTGACGGCCGGAGACCTGTCCTCCAAGTCCTCAGTCGTTGCAAACCTGTTTTGGAGGCATATCTTTCCTTTCTGCGTTTCTGAGACGATGGATAAAAGCATATTCTCGGACATTTTCAGGAAGGTAGTTACCGTTATGGGAGCCTTATACAAGGTCTATATACCTTAAAGAAGCCTTTTGGAAGCCCTATATACGCGAACCTCCCCACCTGTAGTTTCTTGTAACGTAACTTGCATACTTTAAAGTCATGGCCTGGGTTTGATCTACTCCCAAACCTGACACCCTGAACCCTCAAAACCCCAAACCCAGAGCTCCCAAAATCCCAGGCCCTGCTCCCTAACGGCTTAACCCGAAACCCAAACCCTAAACCTTGAACCATCAAAGCCCTTAGAGTTTAGAGTTTAGGGTTTAGGGCTTAGAGCTTGGGGCTTAGGGTTTAGGGTTTGGGGTACCCTAACCCCAAACCGTAATAATCCAAAGGAAGCTCCTTCCCCAGACACTAGGCACACCTGTCGCCATGAGCAGGCTTCTGATATCCAAAGTGCGAGCTTTGTCTATTGTTTAGAAAAGGGTTCCTTCAAAAATTTCTTTGAGAGGTTCAAGAAGGGTTACTATGAGTGCTCTTTCACAGTGTTGTGTGTGATGTGGGTATTTATTTGAGTTGTAATTCCGACTATTACGATTGGAACCCGAAGGGACGGTCTTGGTAGTTATTTGAGCTTCGATACTACGCTCACCCTTGACACTCTGCACATGCTTCATCACGAAACCCTAAGCCGCTCTCCCATATATCATATTGTTGCCCGAAATTCGAAGTGTTGTTGATTAAATGCGTAGTTGCTTTGTGAGTTTGCGGAGGATCTCGATCGCATCCCCGCGCTCAGAAGCTCGGGGCAGCGAAGCCCATACAGCTTCGGCGGGCAGCGTCGCGATCTGAGTCTTCACCGTGCAAGCTACGCCAAACCGAGATCAAAGGCGATAGCGAACCCTGAATCGATTCAGGGATTTTTGGTGGGTAGGCTAAACCCTAAACCCTATAAGCCCTATAAGCCCTAAACCCTAAACCAAAGACTTTCGTCGTGGTTGTTTTCGTGCTTGTCCAGAAGGTTTCCAGATCTCAGCTTTCGGCGAGCCAGATATGTGCAGACTATCAGGCAAGAAATTCAAGCTTCGTCGGACGACATGAAGGACAACTCGTGCTACGACTGCCAAGTCTTAGTACTAGTAGCAATGCAGAGGCTGGACAGTTACTATTTCTAGTTTCGACCAAGCTCCTCTTATTCCTCTTGCTCCTCCTGTTGTTCCTCCTCGTGCCCAGCCGCATCCGCGATCGCCATCATCAGCATCATCGTCACCACCAACATCATCATCAGCATCGGCATCGGTGACACAATCAGCAGCAAGCGTCGGCATCGGCATCTCAGCCACCGCCACCACCATGGCCGCTGCCACCGCCACCACCATCACTATCGTCATCGTCGTCATCACCGCCATCACCGCCATCACCACCATCATCCCCATCATCATCATCATCATCGTCATCATCATCATCATCCTCATCATCATCATCATCCTCATCATCATCCTCATCATCATCATCATCATCATCACCAGCATCATCATCATCGCCATCCTCGTCCTCATCATCAGCATCCTCATCGTCACCATCACCATCGTTATCATCATCAATATCATCATCAACAACAGCAAAACAAAATCACCAGCGTCATCGTCGTCCTCCTCCTCCTCATCATCCTCATCCCCATCCGCACCCACCATTGCCACCACCACCACCACCATCACCACCACCACAACCCTAAACCCTAAACCCTAAACCCTAAGCCCCTAAACCCTAAAACCCCAAACCCCTAAACCCCTAAACCCTAAACCCCTAAACCCTAAACCCCTAAACCCTCATCATCGGTTCCACCGCCACCGAGGCCTTCAGATCCTGAGGCCCCCACCTCCGATGAGGATTTTGACTACGGCGCAGGGTGGCCTACAGTGAGCGTCATAGACTTAGGTTTAGGAGTTTAGGGGTTTAGGGCTTTAGGGCTTTAGGGTTTTACTGAAGATCCTAAGCCCTACTACCGGACTTGGGTAGGGTTTGGGGCCGCAGGGTTTGAGGTTTTATGTTTTTAGGGTTTAGGGTTTAGGGCCTCAGGGTTTAGGGCTTTAGGCTTTGAGGGTTTAGGGTGTAGGAGTTTCCAACTGAAAGATCTTGAACCACCAAGGTCATGTTGATTTTAGGCATGTCACGTATGACTGAAGTGCAGAGACTGCCGGGATTGAACTTGAGGCTTGACCTTGTTAGGCCGTGCTTTGCTTTGGACCTTGGGGTTGAGGGTTGGCCCTACATCGCAAACCCTAAACCCTAAACCCTAAACCCTAAATCTTAAACCCTAAACCCTAAACCCTAAATCTTAAAACCTAAACCCTAAACCCTAAATCTTAAACCCTAAGCGCCAAACCCTAAACCCTCTGCACCCCAGCCCCAAGCTTCGCAGTTGCGGGGAAAGGAGAGGATGTTCAAGAGTCCCTTCTCAAAGGCGCACCCTTCCAGACAGCATGGGTTTGATGCAACTCCTTCCGGTTAATTACGGAAACTACCTTAAACTCTCAGGGGGCGTAAATTATGATTTGCGGGTGTAGTCCTTAATTTAGGGGTCTTGGGCTCTCTGGGGAGTTTGGGGTGTTGGGTTTAGGGCTTAGGGTTTTTCGGGGGTAAAGGGGGGGGTGAGGTTTCCGAGTTTGGTTTGCATACCACTTCCACAAGTATATCATGCGTCTGCGAAGAGCCTTACCCCAGTGGTTGTCGATGCTTTACTTTAGATCTTAAACCTTAAACTCTAAACCCTGAACCCTGAACCCTAAACTCTAAACCCTAAACTGTAAGCCCTAAACCTTAAACTCTGAACCCTAAACTCTAAAACCTAAACCGTAAACCTTCCACAGAAGGGATGCCGGCTTTGGGGTTTTGGGACCTCGGGTTCGAAGCTCACGACATGCTCCTTTCGGCTCTGAGGGATCAGGTTAGCAACGGAGGATTCGCATGTTGCGAGCGGAACACGAATCTGTGAGATCTGTGGGGTGTCTTTGCGGACGAATTGCATCTTTGGATTCTCGCGTGATAGTCATATCGCCATGGCCAGGGTGCGTCCTGCTTCGAGACATTTTCGGAAGGGCTCATGTGCATCTCGGCTTCGGTATTCAACACTGTTTGGCCTGTGGCACGGACCAGGACCAACGACGGGTGTGTGTGTGTGCGCTTTTGCCTGGCTGTGATGACTCAAGGTGGGGCTGTTGGCACTACTGCTTGCGTCCGCGCACGCCTTCGTGCATGCACAATTGGGAGGATGCCTGTCCCGTTCCCCAGCTGCAGTTGACTCTGGATCTGTGTGCTCCTATAGCCCAACCGTGAGCCTTTACGTAGGGCTTAGACCTAAACCCTAAACCCCTAAACCCTAAACCATGCTGTACACTCCACAAGATTTCATTCCACTGCTTGCACAAGCCGCTTCCTGGTAGCGTGTCCTCGCTATCATGATGCAAGCGACCAGAACAATCCTCCCCGCGGCAACTCTAGCATATCAAGCCTTGCTCAGAGGCATCTTATTAAGAACTGCTGTCAGCTAGAGAGAATATTTAACTCTTGCCTGATGTTGGGGGTAGTTGAGTAGTGATACCGGTATGCAAGAAGTATCGGTAATTCACAGGTCAAAGAAAAGCTTGAAATAATTAATACCAGCCTGTAGTCCCTGCAAAGGTTTAGTATAATCTATTTCGGCTTCATTGTAAATCATTTCCGATACCTATTCTCTGATGATTCAGGCCCACCCCAATCAAATAAACACACTGTTCTGTATTGATTACAGACCCTCCGTTACAATTCTCTTCAAGCCCCCCTGAGAGCCCCTGTTCTGCAATTAAGGCACTTAGATGATCATTCCATGAAAGCCCTATCAGAGACTCCATTAAAGCCCTTTAAGAGACTCTCTTTAACCCCCCAAAAGCAAGTCTAGTCTATGGTGGTTGGGGCTCTTATTTTGTGAGCACCACGGCTCTCCTTAAACCCTGAACCCTAAACCCTAAACCCTGAAGCCTGAACCCTAAACCCCTAAACCCTGAACCCTAAACCCTGAACCCTAAACCCTTAAACCCTAAACCCCTTATCCCTAAACCCTAAACCCCTACACCCTAACCCTGAGCCCTAAACTTAAGCCCTAAACCCTTTAACTCTGAACCCTAAACCCCAGTGAACCCCAAGGCTCTCAGACCCAGACGCGGGCCTCCAGTCGAAGAGAGGTCCTCGCGCTGCTTCCCCTCGCGGAGGCGGGGTTTGAGTTTTGGGTCTAGGTTTGAGGGTTTTAGGGTTTAGGGTTTTGGGTTCTGGGTTTAGGTGTGGGGGTTTAGGGTTTTAGGGTTTAGGGTTTAGGTGTGAGGGTTTTCGGGTTTAGGTTTTAGGGTTTTAGCGCCTGGGGTTTTAGGGTTTAGGGTTTTAGGGTTCAGGTTCTAGGGTGGAGCCGGGGTTTCGGGGATTACTCCTGACTAGTGAGCGGAAATAACTCTTTAGGGCTCCTTGTCATAATTGCACTCGAATGCACCCTCCCCCCTTTTAAACAAAAAAGGACATGCTCTACTTAACCCTAAGACCTAAACCCTAAAACCCTAAAGCCCTAAAACCCTAAGCCCTAATTCCTGAAACCCTAAAGCCCTCAAACTCTAAAACCCTAAACCCTAAACCCTGAACCCTCCGGCCCGAATCAAGGCCCGTCTTTTTAGGTTTCAGAGTTTTTGGCTCCAGCCTTCGCCCCCCAAAGGGGTGCTCTAATGTAGGGGCCTCAAGAGTTACCTATAGCATATTTTTTGGGGTTCCTTATTATAATTATCGTATAGTTATAGTATAATTATCGTACAACTATAGTACAACTATAGTATTATTATCGGATACTTATAGTATAGTTTTAAATATAATTTTTGTATAACTATAGTATAAACTTGGAAAAGTTAGACTATAGTTCTAGTATAATATACCCCAAACCCTATTCTAGTTATGTAAGCCAAATTTAGGGATCCAGGCATTCCCAACGGCAAAGCCAGGGGCAGCAGCCTGGCAGTTAGGCTCGAGATTTGCAGGGTTTAGGGTTTAGGGTTTAGGGCTTGAGCTAAAACCCAAAATAGGCGTGCGTGCCGCTGATCGGGTTGAGGCAGAGGCCGTGTGCCCTAAACCCTAATCCCTAAACCCCTAAACCCTAAACCCGAAACTGTGCGACGGATTGAGAGAGAGAAGTGGAGATAGAGAGACCGAGAGAGGCCAGCACCGCCGGAGTAGGCGTGCTCCCCGCCACGACTTTTGCACCATCCCTGTTGTTACTTTTTTGGCTAGAGAAGGGTTTAGGGTTAAAAGCCTATAGGCCTTTCCATATCATATTTTCCGACAGCGGATTGTGTGGCACTGCTTACGTTGCCCGGACCCGAAGCACTGAAGCCCATCCGTCGAATCCGGCAGGCCCTGCATGCTGGCTCAGCTGAAGCTCTAGATTCTGCCCTCCGTGGCCAGAAAGTTGTGGCTGCTTTTCTGCAGTCCTGTGACTGGACTCTGGCTCTTAAAAGGGGGTTTTGGGTTTAGGGCTTATAGGGTTTATAGGGTTTATAGGGCTTATAGGGTTTATAGGGTTTAAAGGGTTTATAGGGCTTACAGGGTTTATAGGGCTTAGAGGGTTTATAGGGTTTATAGGATTTAGGGTTTAGGGGTTGGGCTAAGCCCGAAATGGAATTCTTAATGATTAATGCTTGGATGTTGGCTCCATGGGGTCTCTCCAGAGACCCGGTCGGGCCGTAGACCCTAAACCCTAAACCCTACTAGCCAACCGCACGTCCGGATAGGTTCTACCAAGAGGTCTGCACCCCCGTCTCGAAATCCCGAAGGAATGACACTGCAAAACCCCCCAAAAAACAAAGAAGACCGACAACCCAAGCGATCTTCTAAATCCCTCAAGCTAGGAATGACACGCACACCTAGGCGTCACCATCGGATACTCTCGTTTCCCGTAAGACTTTGCAGAGTCACGACGTTATTCATACACATTTTTTGGGCATTCCTTTAGCCTGAATCCACAACCCAGCAACAATAAACGGAGCCCAAACCCTCAGACCATTGATAGGAACCCTTGAACCCCTAAACCCTCACTTCGGGGGCCTAAGAGGGGCCTAAGCCCTAAACCCCCAACCCCTAAAGGGGCCTGAGCCCGAAGCGCCTCGACTTGTTCCCTGGTCTGAGGTCTTGGGAGGCTCTGGATTTGTGGGGCGACGAATATGCCAGCGAAGCTGAGATCATGTTCAGTGCAGTCCCGGGGTCCGGATTTAGGGTTTGGGGTGGAGGGCTTAGGGCTTCGGGGCTTCTTGGTTGGGGATTTTAGAGGGTTTGACCAAGGCTTTTGTAGGGTTTCCGGGGGCTGTTTGACTTTCGAGGCTTCTTGGGTTGCCGTTGAGGGCGCAGGATTCGGGCTTGTTGGGTTTCCGGGTTTGGGGTTTAAGATTGGGGATGAACCTAGGGAATAGAGTCACGCAGCCCGCAACCCCACGACGCTGGGCCATCAGGCCGACCCACAATTCAGCTGCACGCACCTCCGAATTGTAGGGGTTTCAGGTTTCGGGTCACGCTCGAGCGGTACTACAAAATCAGAAGCTGCCATATTGTCAGGCGTCTTTGGCAGATGGGTGAGAACGGAGTTAGTTGTTGTTCTTTTTGTTTTTCTTTTGTTTTGTCTGCTGAAAGCAACGATCACAGAATCCAGCATCCGCGCTGGTGTTCGCCTGGTGCGTAAGGTTTGCGTGATGCGCGTGAACCCCCTGTGCAATTCATGAATACAAATACAAACACGAACGTGAATATGAGCAAGACGACTGTTGATGCAAATGTAAGTATATGTACAGGTGGAGATAGCAGTGTACATTTAGGTATATACACAAACGTATCTAAAGACTGTTTGTGTTGTCTCGACACATGCGTACAAACCCTGAACCCCACACCCTAAACCCCAGAAGCATTTTTCAACATGTTCAGATGCAAACCCTAAACCTTAAAACCCATTCAGGACTCGTGGCCGAGGGCGCCCAAGTCACGAGCATTTCTCGCACAGGAGGGCCGCCGTCGAAGGCGACGGGCTTTGGAGCTTTTGGGTTTATTGGTCTGCGTGTAGGGTTTACCTGCTTGATGGAAGGCATTACACAGGGGTTTAGAAATACGGAATCTACTCATGTAGCTCTTTTCGGGTTAACTACAGGTAGGGCTTATTGGATTTGAGGGTGGCGTGTAGGGCTTAGGGAGTTAGAGTTGCAGGGTCTAACTGATCAGGAAGACTTGTTCTCATTGCTTCCTGCGACAAGGCTGTGATCTTTTTGTCGAGTTGCTGGGATGCAAGAAACAAGCCCATCTACGTGAGGCAACCTTGGCAAGAGTCTCTCACCCACAGCTGCCGTCGCCAGTCTGTTGGGAACCCGTGCAGTTGTACGATTGCCCGTGTTCTGTTGGTGTTTGGGGTCTTGGAGACCTGGCAGCGGAAGTATGCAGACATCCAAGAAGATAAGTCCTCAACTTCAAACTCTAAACCCTAAACCCTACACCATAAAGGTTAGGCTTCAGGGTTCAGGATTTAGGGCTACCCTGCACTCTAAACTCGAAACCAGTACCTGGACTGCTGCGGGGCTCAGGGGCCTTAGATCTCGATTCGGCCGTCACGGCGGGCCGCAGGCTAAATGCAGGGTTTAGGGTTTAGGGTTCAGTGTTTAGGGTTTAGGGTTTAGGGTTCAGGATTCAAGGTTTATGGTCTAGGGTTAAACAGTGGATACCTGCAGATGGATAGCTCTCTAAATTAGGGTCCCTTTCAGGTGGTCTCCCAAAATAGTACAGCACCCTGATTAAAAAGGACCCTAAAAGGAGTTCTAAGTTAGAGAACTACCCAATCCAAGCTGCGAAGGCAAGTTTCCTACGTTCACAACGCATGACTACCTTAACCTACCCAAACCTACTTTTTCGCGGGGATCCCTATAAATTCTTTTTTAGGGTTCATGATAAGAGCCTACAAAAAATTAAAAGTGGGTTTTGGTAGGTTAAGGTAGCTCCCAGAGCTAGAAGCTCTCAGTTCGAGGTCATCGAGTCATCTCCTACAGCACTTTTTATTTTTAACACCCGAAACCCCATACGAATCCTAGCTTCCTAGAAACCCAAAACCCTAGAAACCCTAAACCCGAAGCCCTTAAAACCTTAAGTCCTCAATCCTAAACCCTAAACCCCAAAACCTTAAACCCTAAACCCTAAACCCTAAACCTTAAACCTGAAACCCCTAACCCCGAAAGCCCTAGGCCCGAACCCCCGAGAAGGTCGGTGACTGGGCCTCCAGTGTCGCATGGAAGAGGAAGGACCTTGCAGCTGCGTGTAGAAATTTAGGGTTTAGGGTTTAGGGTGCAGCTGCTTGTAAAAGTTTAGGGATTAGGGTTTAGGGTGCAGCTGCTTGTAGGAGTTTAGGGATTAGGGTTTAGGGTTTAGCTGCTTGTAGAAATTTGGGGTTTAGGGTTCAATAGAAATTGTCACGGGTTTGGGCGCGCTAGTTTTGACCGAAAGTCTTGACCGGTTTTTTCTTTCGGAACCGATTTTGAGTTTGGGGCGGAGGCTGGGGGGGTTGGGGGGCTGAAAGGGCGGCTGGGTTCTGGCTAGGCTGGCGCTGGCGGGCTGCGGGCGGGGGGGGGGGGGGGCCGGTTCTCCATTCCTGTTATGGGTGGTTCGAGCCCATGTGGGCAGAGATACAGCTGTGGTCAATTTGCGTGGGAAGGCACCCGGTGTGAGGCTGCCGGACAATGGGCTCTGGGTCAGAGGGTGGGCAAGCACAGCAACTGTGACCGCAAGGCGTCAAAGGCTCACCGAAGGTCTAGATTGCATTCGGCTGGTCGGACCGTCACATTGCAACACCCTTAGCCCTGAGATGTCATTTTTGTTTGTACGGGGCAGCGAACATCCTAGCCTTGCATATGGCTGGAGTCAACATCTTGCCTGTTCCAGCCTCGTCTCCTCTGAACCCTGCAGAGACCTCAGAGTGTTTCTGCTCGTATATCTGTGGGGGTTTTGACCTTCGAAGTCGTTTCTAAGAGCGGAGGCATCCCCTAGGCTGAAACCCAGTGTTCCGTTTCGGATTTGCTGAAGGAGAGGGCGCCCGAATCCGCGCGCTAAAACCGTAAAACCCTATAAACCCGCCTCGAACCCCGAGATACCAGAAAAGGTTGAGGGTGATCCTCCTGCCCATGGGTACAACCCAAAATCTTGAATCCCTAAACGTGAAACCCGAAAGGCTGAAATCAAACCGGAAACCCAAAAAGCTGAACTCTTGAACACGAAGCCCTAACAGCCTTGAAGTTCAACCCGAACCCTACAGCGCCCTTATACAACTTCTATAGAACCCCTAACAACCCCCGACCCATAAAACTCACAAACTTTCGAAGTCCCCTGCAAAGCCTCAAACCCTCAAAACCCTCAAACCCTCCCGATACTTAACAGCCAAGCCTTGCAGAACCGAGCCCTTGTAGAGCCTCCAACCGCAACCGAGAACAGAGTTGCTCAAGGCTCTCCCTGGGCTTTTCGGAACGGGATAAAAGCCTTGAAGGTTTAGGGTTTAGGGTTTAGGGCTTAGGGAACTTTAAAATGTCCCTTGTAGCCTTATGGTTCCTCTAGAGGTACATAGCCATAAAGACTTTTAAGGGCCCCAAGACTACAACCCAGAAAACCGATACCCGAAAGCCACAGTTTAGGGTTTAGGGTGTAGAGAATGCCCGAAACCCCTGGCGCCCCCTTCTGGAACCGAAACCTTACATCAATCCTAAGTTTAAGGCTTAGGGTTTAGATTTGGGGTTTCCTTAAAGTACAAAACCCGAACAACTCCCCCAAGCCCTGAACCCTAATCCCGAAAAATCCTGAGAGAACCGCCAGAAAACATCCAAAGAGTCATCACATACAACTTGAACGACTTTGCCCCAAAGCCCTAAAATCGTAAAATCTCCCAGCCAAGCCCTTATAGAACCCTTATGGAACATCCTATGCCCTCTGCAAACCAAAATTCGAACATCCCAAAGGCACCAAAGTCCTCCCAACCCTTGAGCCCCTACCCCGCCTAACCCCCCCAGACCCTTACGAACCAAAACCCGAAGCAAGTTTAGGGTTTAGGGAAGTTTAGGGTTTAGGGTTTAGGGAAATTTAGAGTTTAGGATTTAGGGTTTATGGAGAGGACGTGCTAACTGCCGATTTAGTGCCGGAGATGACCGGTGCAGGGGCAGCTTCCTGACGATGTTGATTGGTTTGTTTGGTAAGCTTTGTTAGGGGTTCATAAGTACAGGGGCCTCGATAGACGGAATAGGGCTTTGAAATTATGATCCTGATGTGTGGTTATAAGAGGGTTATGCCTTCAAGCAGCCTTCAAGATAGGGGGATAGTGGGATACGTCACGCCATCCTATTCGGATTCTTTTGCCTGTCACAATAGCACCCGACTAAACCCTAATCCCTAACCCCTAAACCCTAAACCCTAAACCCGCAGCCACTTTGGCTCAAGGTTCTCCCACAAACTTGAGGCAAGTGCGCACGCCTCCTAAGCGGCAAACGCGTGTTAGCTTACGCTAGCTAAAGCTGCTTTTCCCTTGAGCTGAAATGGCCGCGGAGACGGTTCACGAAATCTTGCATCGGCGGAGGCAGATGACGCTGATGACGGGCAGCAGCCCGAGCTGGATCTGCGACGCTGCAACAAATGCGGGCAGATCAGCTACACTCGCAGGAACATGTGCGTCAACACGGTTTGCGAGACTTGGCCTGCATTCAGAGTTCCCGAAGATTCAGTTTGCTGTGTTTTCCTGTAAGCTGCAAGCGCCTCAGGAGTTGTGGGATCCGTGAACGGTGCCTCAAAAGTCGACTCCCGAGCAGCCCCTCAGCAAACGACAGCAGTGGTTCAGGAGGCTTCGGGAGGCAAAGGAGTGCAGAAAGCAGGAGAATAAGAAGAAGAGCAAGAGCGGCAGGGGCAAGAAGGACTCGGACGACAAGCACACCGACTGGTGGAGCGGCGATGGTACCAGTCGTGGCTCCTCGTGGAATGATTGGCGGGATTGGGGGGATTCGTCTGCATCGAGCTGGCACCAAAGCAGTGCCAAGGTCAAGTAGAGCATTTTGATTGGCCTGTGTGTACACTATGAAGTGGCCATGGTCGAGCTGCAGTTTTTGTTGAACGTGGATAATCGACGACTGCAGGTACGACATGCAAAAAATGGTGCCTCGGTCCTTAGCGACTGCTCGGGATTCTTCTATGAAACGAATTTTCAGAGACTTATGGGAACAGAGACAGATTTAACCACTCAGCACAGGAAGTACCGAAAGAGGCCTGGTGCTCTTCTTGCAGAGTTCGAGCGAGTAGAGCCTCACCTCGCCAATGCCCCAGAGATCCTGACACACATGAGCCAACTTAGAAAAGTTACTCGTGCCTTGGATGCCTTTGAATCCGGGCAGAGCGGATGTGTTGTTTACAGCAACAAAGTCTCACAGGCGACCGCACCTGCGGTTTCACAGCAGCACTCAGTGACTCTCTGCCAAGGCCAGATGTCTACTGGGCAGGGTTGGAGTTTTCAATTAGTTTGATTTTCTTTTGCTGTAAGACAATTAATCTAATTTGTTGCCAGAAAGGTTGCATGCATGAGATGAAAAATGCCAGACCAAAAGTGTGGAAGCTTCCTGTGCAGCACAGATGTGAAGTTCGTGGTCAGCATGGCAGCCAGCTTCGAAGCATGTACTGCTGTTGTCTCGAGTGCCCCTCGACGATCAAGGGGTTGGCTACGCTATCCATCCGTACCTGAGTAGAGGAAGAGGCTGACCCTGACGGCATCGCAACACAACTGGTCCCGATGCCGACAGCCTCTACGACTATTACGTCGTCAGCACCTGCAGTGACACCGGGGTTGACGACTGCGGATGGCCAGGGGGTGCAGCCCGTACCGGAGGCTGAGGTTGGGATCTTGACCAATGGCACCGTACCTGATGAGTGGAGCAGCTCTGACATGCAGGGACATACACCGGGGCTGTGAAGGACCATGCTTTCAAGGTGAGTGGTGAAGGGTTTTTCGAGTGCTGGTAAGGGTGATGCTGCTCCAGGGTCTCCCGAAGGGTGGCTTGTCACCTGGCCTCTGGGCCTCTCGGATGTACTTGCAGACGGAAAAAGGAGCTCAAAAAGAAAACCCTAAACCTTAAACCCATGAAGCATCAGGCCTCCTAAAGTTCTGAACGCTACAACTCGCAAAAATGTTTAGGGTTTAGGCTTTAGGGTGAGACCATGCCCTTGCACCAAACTAAACACTTTGCCTAACTTTGCCCTGCCATTCCCAACACGCAAGCCTTTCAACAGGACCCTAAACCCCAGACCCTATACCCTAGACTCTTTTCCGCTTGAAGTCTGTTCTTCGTGACTGGAGGTCGGACTGCCGGTAGTCATATTGGGTTGTAGTCCTTGTACAATGTTAGTGTCACGTACCCCGAAACCTTGTTCTACTTGCGAAGGCCACCAGAGTAAACACTGCTAGATGCCTCCATGTGGCTTCAACATGTGTGTTGTGCAGACGGGGTTTTGAACCCGGCTGGCGTTGAGGGGCTTTGAACTGCAAATTCACGGTTTGCAAAGCCTGCGCTTGCAGGGCTACATTGCATGTGTAGAACTTGTGTATTGCACTGGCCGTTTGAGGTGATATCTGCCATCGGCAGCATCGGCTCGGCTGATGATGAACAAGGGAACGGAGCCACCAACGAAGCTGCAGTTGCAGCAGCGGCAAAAGCTGGAGTGAAGCGCTTCGTCCTAGTGTCCGCGAGCAAGGACACGCCCATGTGCTTAATGCAGGAAGCCTCAACAACAGAGAGCATAGTCCTGTGTACTACTGATATGTCTTAACATAGCAGCTTCGTACAACATCCCCGCAAATAGTGTTGAGTTTGTTCGAGCCCCGTTCTTGTGGCATTCCATTCCTGTGTCATTCATGCAATCACGGCCATGCCTTGAGGAAGAAGCTTTGCAGAGTCACACCCACCGTCCAGCACCTCGAAGCCGAAATCCATGCCCTGCAAACCCTTGAAGGCGCAAACTCTCGGTGAATCAACCACAGCAACATTCCGAACAAAGGAGCAGCCCATCCTAGAGCCTAAAGCCTAAACCTCTGAACCCCAAGTCTCTTGAGCGTTGTGCAGGACGTTGGTGAAGCTGGAGCATCCCAGTTTGATTGATTTAGGTGATCCACGGGGCTTAGGATTTGAAGCTGAAGGGCTTCGAATTGGAGCTGAGGGTCTTCGAATTGAGGCTTGAGACGTTTTGTCAAAAAGAGCATCCCGCAAGAGTTTCTTGGTGTTGTGCTCGCATGAAGTTACACGACACTTCGCTTTACCGAGGTTGATGCTATTTTCGGACCGTATGTCAAGGGCAAGCAGCGTGCTGAAGCAGCAGTGAAAGGCAGATTTTCCGACAGCAGCCTGGTTCTGCAGCCGAGCTTTATTTATGGCGGTGATGAATTCAGTGCTACACCGCCACGGGTGGCTGGATGGTATGGTGAGAAGGACACCCGTCTCCCGTGTCATGCTTTGTTTCTAAGCCTTCAGTGCCCCAAAACCTGAAGCCTAAACCCTAAACCCTAAAAAACAAAAACTAAACCCTGAAAGCCCTAAATCCTAAGCTCCTCCGAATCGGAAGTCAAAACCGATCCTGTGGGCTTGTATGTGACTTCCAAACCCTCACGTGAGACATTCTTCAGCTCATGCTTCGGTTTAGGGTTTGGGGTTTTATTCAGGAGCCGGGGTAAGGATTCCTTATGTCATATGTAGGGGGTATTGAAGCCTGTAAAGCTAATGAAATCTTTCCACGCGCTTCACCTTGGGACCCATGCGATATTGAGTCGGCGGATCCGTTCAGGTGGAGAACCTCTTGGCTACAGAGCTGTTCAGAGCAGTCGCGTCTGCATCGCCTGCCTTCCTGCGACTCGCGCTCTCACCACCGCTTGCTGTGGCTGGGTGTTTGTTGAGGAACTTCGTTGGCTGCCACAAAGGAATGATTGCATGCATGTTACGGCTTCATTATATGGTAGCTTTCATAGAGTTAAGATAAATCCCAAGCATTATTAATTTGAGGCTAAGTCCCAACACAAGAACCCAGGTGGATGATGTCGCGAAGGCAGCTGTGGCCGGCGCTGCTGGGCGTGCGACCGGAACTTTGGAAAGTCATGATGCCATCTTGGCGGCCCGATGATTTTCGAGCTTGAGCTCAATTACGAGACGTTGATCCCATTGCTGGGCGGCAAATTGAGGTCCAATACGAGTTCACTTCTACAAGGCTTAACGATATAACGATCTTCATTAAGAAGGGATATTCCTTTAGATATGTATATGAGATGTTCGATATTGCAAGATAAGATTTGGCATATCAAGATAAATAATTCACTGATCGATTTAAATAAATATTAGATAACGATTTTTCTTAACGGAATATTAGTTTCATAATACAACTGATTCTCAAGAAATATTTTAATATTAGATAAAAAACATATTATTTATTACTTACGAAAATATTTTTTATATTATTTGGAAATTATGACATTTTTTACCGAAGATATATTTTAGAATATAGTAATTGAAATTGAATGATAAATCTTGAAAATTTATATTCGTCTGAATCGTTATTTTGGACTAATATAAATATTTTCTTTTAATTCTTTTCTAATAAATATATGAGGCTTCTTAGAATATATATTAAGAAATTAGATAATGTTTGAAAATTATATATAACTATCGATAAAGAAATATCTTTGATTATAAGAATCGATTTGTATATGAAAAATTTATTGATTATTTATTGCGAAAACGATGTAACAAATAAAATTTGGCAAGAATCTAATAAAGATCTCGTATTGAATTGGAGAATTAGATATAGGACCAAGATTTTTAATATCGTTATTATTTAGCTTTGGATATGAAATAATAATCTACAGATATATATATATATAATGATTCGAAAAAAGAATCTTTGTTAATAAGATA